GGGGGGGGAGAGGAAGAATTTACAGACCCAGAGGTTGAAACGGACCCACCCTGGGAGTGAAATTTACAGAGCAGGGTGTGAAACTTACAGACCCGAGAGGTGGCCACGAAGATCGCGTTCTGAGAGCAAGAGGGGGTCTGGGATGGGATTCCAAGGGCGGGACTCAGGTCAGGATGCCTTGGGGCCAGGGTCGCCAGTGCAGCCAGCATTTGTCCCCACCCAAGTGGGAAGCCCTGGGACGCGAGGACGAGATGCTTGGGGGTCCGGAAGGACTGACCTGGTCCCGGGTCCGCTCCAGCAGCAGCAGCCTCAGCTCTTCCAGGCTGCGGTTGATGCGATCTCGGCGCCGCTTCTCCACCAGCGGCTTCAGCATCTGCGACCAGCAGGAAAGGGAGAGCGGGCCGACCGGACCAAGACTCAGCGCGGCCGCGGGGCGTCGGGATCCCGCCCCCGGGAGAGTCCCGCCTCCACCCCTTCCCCAAGACTCCTGAGAGCCTAGGGCCCGACCCACTCGACCCCTCTCCGCTCCCCCTCCCGTCGCCCCTAAGGTCAATTTCTGAAGCTCGCCTCCTCTCTCTCCCGGGTCTTCTGCATTCTCCTCTCTCAGTCTTGTCCTCCCTCCTCCCCTCTCTGTGTCTCTCCTCTTTTCTCTCTACTTCTCCGCATCGTGCAGTCTCTCTCTGTCTCAGTGGAGAACTTTGGGGGCCCTCTTTGCGCCCAGACACGTGGGCCACAAGGTGCGGGACTCAGAGTTGGCGGCCCTGAGTGTAGAAAGGGAGATACCCAGCGCGACGGCGCCTCCTCTTCTCCCTCTAACCCGGCTAGGCGGCCACGGTTCTTAACTGGCTCTAACATCTTCCGCCGGGTCTCAGGCCTCCGGAAGCAGTGCCCACCCGGCCAGCCCGCGAAGAGCAAGTGCGCACCTCCGCTTTCTGTTTCCACCCCCCTCCCTTAGCCCTGTGCTCCTCTCCGTTATTTCACTCAAGCACCAGCCCCCTCCCACGCCCCCGAGGCCAGCTCCAGTTACCCAAACCCCAGCCTCCTGCTTCTCCCGCCCACGCGGGTCCTGCTCTGACCCTGTCCCCTTCTTCATACTTCGCAGCTTCCTCCCCAGCTACTGGCCCCTTGGGTCTCCGGTGCACACCCCCCCCCATCCCAGCGCCTGGCCTCCTCCCTGACCCACGCTCTCAGAGACACGGTCCCCTGACCGGACCAGGGATCTCTGCTCCCTCTTCTCCCGCCGCTCACCTTCGGGCCGTCCCTATTCTCAGCTCGATCCCGGGTGACCATCGCTCCTCCGGATCCTGGTGTGGACCGAGTCGCCGCTCGCGTTGCGCCTTATATCCCCCTCGGGCTCCGGGTTGGGGGGCAGGGAGGACCCGGGCCCGCCCTCTTAGGCACCCAGATCCTCCCGGCGTGGCCCCGGGCACGAGGCTCCCGGAAAGGGGCGGAGCGCTGGGGGGAGGGGAAGGAGTGGCACTGGCTCCGGAGTGTGGGAAACGGGGGGCCAATGCAGCACCAGCTGGTTTAAAGGCCATAAGGCTGTATAATAAGGCGGGTCCCAGCTGACGGGAGGAGGTTATTAGGGGGAGAAAGAGTTCAGGTGATTTGGGGACAGAACTTGCCTCCAGCATCGCAGCTATCTTTGGAGGTCACTGTACCCACACTGACTGTAAGGAAGAAGTTAGCACCCCTCAGCCCTTAGGCTGATCGTCCCCCAAAATTCACCTCCTACTGAAGACAGAGACCTGAGTGTGAGAGGTGGATCCGTCTAATTCAACTGGGGCTCTGTCTGGAGGTGGAAGAGCAGCTCTGTTCGCTCTAACGATCTAACGGAGTCATATGAAGTTCCCCAGCAGGGGAAGGGACTTGGTCCACACCGGCGTCCGGAGGAGCGAGGGTCACTCGTGCTCGCCCGTGCGCACTGGGCACCGGTCTAGGCCGGACCGTTTATACTGAGATATGCAGTAAAGGTCCAACTCTGGACCCAGCGGGGGGACCCCCCCCCACACACACACACACACACAACGACGTGTTATCAAGTAGCTATTATAGAATCAGAGTCGGGGAAAGGACCATCCTGAGGGATGTCTGGACTGCGGCAGAGGGAACCTCAAAGAAAAGGAAGCAAAGCACCGGCGGGAGGTGGAGAGATCTTCCCACTTACAAGTATTTGATGCAAAACCTATAAGAGATTCAGGCGTCTGGCTGCCACACCACCTGACACAAGCGCTCTCGCTTTGCCTGCTCCCAGGAACCTCCTCCTGACTGTAGGGGAGCAGGGAGCAGTTTTCTTAAAGGGACACGAAAGGGATACAGAAAAGGGGTCGACACCCACCTCAGACCAAGATCATGACCCTCTGCAGGACGATGCGTGAACACACGGAGACTACTGGACAAAATGCTTAAGAAGATAAAATCAGAGATTCAACGAGGCGGCAAGAGGGCTGAGGACAAGGAGCCTTAAAAGACAAGGTTGGTCAAATCTGAATATAGCTGCGGAGTCAGAAACGGATGAGACTCCGCCTGGCCCTCCCAGTGCCCCTCCACCCTGGTGTTTTTCACCGAGCTTGCCTCGCCAAAGCCCGAGCCCGAAGGGACACAGACCTTGGGGAGGGCGCTCCCATTTGGGTTCAGGGCCCCCAGCAACCCCACCTCCCCCTACCTGGGCCAAATGGGAAAGCAGATGTGTGGCCCCAGCAGCCCCCGCAGCCCCCCTCCTTGGGAACCTGGGCTCAGGCTGAGTTTTTCTCACCTGCACGCGAGGTTTGGGGGCCCCGGGCTGTTAGCACCCGGGTGTGGGGCCGCCCCTGGCCATATGGGGCGACTTTATGGCCTGGTGGCCGGAATCGGGCGAGAGGAAGGATGGCGGGGTTGCTCCACCCACGTGAACTATTCAAAGCCACTCTTTTGCAGGATTCCTAGTTAACACAACCCGCCTGAGCGCTGCTGTCTCAAACTCTCATAAGGTCTGACAAAGGCTTGTTACCGTAAGCATTGGTGGTTCAGTGGTAGAATTCTCGCCTGCCACGCGGGAGGCCCGGGTTCGATTCCCGGCCAATGCAATACTTACTTTTTTCCCCCCCCCAGAACCGAAAGAAGTTTGATTACGTGTCTGAGAAGCATCTTTGATCAATATTTTCACCAGATATTACTATTTAACTTTTTTACTCTATCGCAGGGATTGAGGCTCTGGATGGAGATCTTGATTCCATACCTCCTCAACGCCCATCCTCCCAGCCAGGGGGTCCTCCTGCCTTCCCCACCGCTTCCTCCTCCCCCAGCCCCCGCACCTCGGCAGGCGTGACCCTGAGAAAGGACACGGCTCTCGGATCCCCGCCCCGGGGGTCCTCTGGGCCCTCCGCAGGGGAGGGGCGAGGTCTTCCCGCGCTCTAATTCCCTTGCTCTTCCTTCCATTTCTCCCGCTCGCTCGCTCTCTGTCTCACCTCCTGTTCTCTCAAAAGAGCCCTTTCTTTTTCCAAGTCCAGAGGTCTCGGCCTTTTGTGTCTTGCAGTCTCTGTGCTGCGTACCTCCTGGCGTCTCGGTCTCTGTGCTTCACGTTCTTTCCGGGTCTCTTAGCAACTTTTGCGCGCATCTCTCTGTGTCTTTACGTGTCTCTGCATTTTTGACTCCGGGTCTCTCCGGCGTCTCCGTCTCGGTCTCTGGGCGTCTCCGGGTCTCTGGGATCTCTCATCTTCTTTCCGGGTCTCTGTCCCCTGCCCGCACTCTGCGATCCCACGCTCCTGCCGTCCCCTGGGAAGCTCGCTCACACCTCCGGGTTCCT